CGTCGAATAATGCAACTGGAAAGATTAAGTGATGCAGTCTTCACCCGCCAGATGGTAGAAGATATTTGTGTAGAAGAGAAAATATCCAAAAGAAAATTAATAATAACCACAATTCTGGTGTTTAATGACATGTGTATTTAGAGAAAACTTTCTCCTAAAATATACAAAATATACTAATCTATATAAATAAAAAATGTAAATATTAGTTTTAATGTAAACGTAAATGTTCAGTAACGCACATGTGTTGCTGAGTCACAGCAACGTGTGCTCAAGTACACCTAGTATGTATATATATATATATATATATATATATATATATATATATATATATATATATATATATATATATATATTTGCTGCTGAAGCAGACACGACTTTCCATACAGAGAAGGAATAATTTAAACAGGGAGATTGAAGAAATCGAACAGAGACTGAAGCAGTCCTATCAGACTGAAGAAAGGCAACTAGAACAGAAAGCATTTCAAGAAATAAAGAAAAACCCAAAATATTTCTTCACAAGTGCTAAATCAAGAGCAAAAACCACTGCCAGTAGTGGACATATTCGTATTAGTGAAGGTTCATACACTGAGGATGACAAAGAAATTAGTGAAATCCTAAAAAAGCAGTATGAGGACATGTTTAGCACTCCGATACTCAGCATGAAAGTGGAAGATTCAGACAATTTCTTTATGAATGATACTTAAACACCTGTAAATATAACTGATATCAACACGAGTGTGGTAGATTTTGAAAGAGAAATTGACAATATGCCCATGCACTCAGCCCTCGGGTCCAGACTCATGGAATTCCATATTTATAAAGAAATGCAAAGTGCCAGTAGCACAGGCACTCAGTATAGTGTGGAGGAAGAGCTTGGACACGGGGGAGATACCAGATGCGCTTAAAGCAGCAGACATTGCCCCTCTACACAAGGGAGGGAGCAAAGCATTGGCAAAGAATTATAGACCAGTTGCACTAACGTCCCACATAAAAGTATTTGAGAGAGTGATCAGGAGTCAGGTCACTAGTTTCATGGAAACCAATGACCTCCACAATCTAGGCCAACATGGATTTAGAGCAGGAAGATCATGCCTCTCACAGCTACTTGACCATTATGACAAAATCACTGAGGCATTAGAAGAAAAATAGAATGCAGATGTTGTATACACAGACTTCGCAAAGGCATTCGACAAATGTGACCATGGAGTGATTGCACACAAAATGAGGTCAATGGGAGTAACTGGTAAAGTAGGACGCTGGATACTCAATTTCCTGTCGAACAGAACACAGAGTAACAGTCAATCAAGTAAAATCGAGTCCGAGCGCAGTTAAAAGCTCTGTACCTCAAGGTACAGTCCTTGCACCACTGCTGTTCCTTATTCTCATATCAGCAAAGGTTGACAGCTTCGTGTCAACCTTTGCAGATGATACAAAAATCAGCATGTAAATTGCCTCTGCTGAAGACATTGCAAACTACAAACAGACATTAACAATTTTCGATTGGGCAGCAGAAAATAACATGATGTTTAACGGTGATAAATTCCAGGTTCTCAGATATGGCAAAAATATCGACCTGAAAAATAATACAGGGTACAAAACACAATCAAATCTGCCCATAGTAGGAAAACAGCATGTCAAGGATTTGGGAATAATGATGTCTGACGACCTAACGTTCAGGGAGCATAAACAAGCAAGTATTGCGTCACTCAGAAAAATGATAGAATGGATTACGAGAACTTTCAATTCCAGAGATCCCATCACAATGTTTGTACTCTTCAAATCACTTGTGTTGTCCCGTCTTGAGTACTGCTCAGTACTCACTTTCCCCTTCAGAGCAGGAGAGATTGCTGAAATTGACGGAATACAGAAAACATATACGGCACGCATAGACGAGATAAAGCACCTAAATTATTGGGATCGTCTCAAAGCTCTCCAAATGTACTCACTAGAAAGGAGACGAGAGAGATACCAAATAATATACACCTGGAAAATACTAGAGAGCCAGGTCCCAAATCTACACAGTAAAATAACAACATACTGGAGTGAACGATATGGAAGAAAATGCAGAATAGAACCAGTGAAGAGCAGAGGTGCCATAGGCACAATCAGAGAACACTGTATAAACATCAGAGGTCAGTTGTTATTCAACGTCCTCCCAGCGAGCATCAGAAATATTGCCGGAACAACCGTGGACATCTTCAGGAGTAAACTAGATTGTTTCCTCCCAGGAGTGCCGGACCAACCGGGCTGTGGTGGGTATGTGGGCCTGCGGGCCGCTCCAAGCAACAGCCTGGTGGACCAAACTCTCACAAGTCAAGCCTGGCCTCGGGCCGGGCTTGGGGAGTAGAAGAACTCCCAGAACCCCATCAAGCAGGCTACACTGAATGGTCGTGGCTACAGTGAGGGGTCGTGGCTACAGTGAGGGGTCGTGGCTACAGTGAGGGGTCGTGGCTACAGTGAGGGGTCGTGGCTACAGTGTGGGGTCGTGGCTACAGTGTGGGGTCGTGGCTACAGTGTGGGGTCGTGGCTACAGTGTGGGGTCGTGGCTACAGTGTGGGATCGTGGCTACATTGTGGGATCGTTATCTTATCTTGAGGTTATCTTGAGATGATTTTGGGGCTTTCAGTGTCCCCACGGCCCGGTCCTCGACCAGGCCTCCACCCCCAGGAAGCAGCCCGTGACAGCTGACTAACACCCAGGTACCTATTTTACTGCTAGGTAACAGGGGCATAGGGTGAAAGAAACTCTGCCCATTGTTTCTCGCCGGCGCCTGGGATCGATCCCAGGACCACAGGATCACAAGTGCAGCGTGCTGTCCGCTCGGCCGACCGGCTCGTGGCTACAGTGTGGGGGTCGTGGCTACAGTGTGGGGGTCGTGGCTACAGTGTGGGATCGTGGCTACAGTGTGGGGGATCGTGGCTACAGTGTGGAGGTCGTGGCTACAGTGTGGGGGTCGTGGCTACAGTGTGGGGGTCGTGGCTACAGTGTGGGGGTCGTGGCTACAGTGTGGGGGTCGTGGCTACAGTGTGGGTGGGGGTCGTGGCTACAGTGTGGGGTTGTAGCTACAGTGTGGGGCCGTGGCAACAGTGTGGGGTCGTGGGGTACAGTGTGGGGTCGTGGGGTACAGTGTGGGGTCGAGGGGTACAGTGTGGGGTCGTGGCTACAGTGTGGGGTCGTGGCTACAGTGGGGGGTCGTGGGGTACAGTGTGGGGTCGTGGCTACAGTGTGGGGTCGTAGCTACAGTGTGGGGCCGTGGCAACAGTGTGGGGTCGTGGCTTCAGTGTGGGGTCGTGGCTACAGTGTGGGGTCGTGGCAACATTGTGGGGTCGTGGCTACAGTGTGGGGTCGTGGCTACAGTGTGGGGGTCGTAGCTACAGTGTTTGGTCGTGGCAACAGTGTGGGGTCGTGGGGGTCGTGGCTACAGTGTGGGGTCGTGGGGTACAGTGTGGGGTCGTGGGGTACAGTGAGTGTCGTGGCTACAGTGGGGGTCGTGGCGTACAGTGTGGGGTCGTGGCGTACAGTGTGGGGTCGTGGCTACAGTGTTCGGTCGTGGGGTACAGTGGGGGGTCGTTGATACAGTGTGGGGTCGTTGCTACAGTGTGGGGTCGTGGCCACAGTGTGGGGGTCGTGGCTACAGTGTGGGGTCGTGGCTACAGTGTGGGGGTCGTGGCTACAGTGTGGGGTCGTGGCTACAGTGTGGGGGTCGTGGCTACAGTGTGGGGGTCGTGGCTACAGTGTGGGGGTCGTGGCTACAGTGTGGGGGTCGTGGCTACAGTGTGGGGGTCGTGGCTACAGTGGGGGTCGTGGCTACAGTGTGGGGTCGTGGGGTACAGTGGGGGTCGTGTGGTACAGTGGGGGTCGTGGCTACAGTGTGGCGTCGTGGGGTACAGTGGTGGGTCGTGGGTACAGTGGGAGTCGTGGGTACAGTGGTGGGTCGTGGGTACAGTGGGGGGTCGTGGCTACAGTGTGGGGGTCGTGGCTACAGTGTGGGGTCGTGGGGTACGGTGGTGGGTCGTGGCGTACAGTGGTGTGTCGTGGATACAGTGGGAGTCGTGGGTACAGTGGTGGGTCGTGGGTACAGTGGGGGGTCGTGGCTACAGTGTGGGGGTCGTGGCTACAGTGTGGGGTCGTGGGGTACAGTGGTGGGTCGTGTGTACAGTGGGGGGTCGTGGATACAGTGAGGGGTCGTGGGTACAATGGGGGGTCGTGGCTACTGTAGGGGTCGTGGCTACAGTGTGGGGTCGTGGCTACAGTGTGAGGGTCGTGGCCAGAGTGTGGGGTCGTGGCAACAGTGAGGTGGTCGTTGCTACAGTGTGGGGTCGTGGCTACAGTGTGAGGGTCGTGGCTACAGTGTGGGGTCGTGGCAACAGTGAGGTGGTCGTGGCTACAGTGTGGGGTCGTGGCTACAGTGTGAGGGTCGTGGCTACAGTGTGGGGTCGTGGCTACAGTGTGGGGTCGTGGCTACAGTGTGGGGTCGTGGCTACAGTGTGGGGTCGTAGCTATAGTGTGGGGCCGTGGCAACAGTGTGGGGTCGTGGGGTACAGTGTGGGGGTAGTGGCAACAGTGAGGGGTCGTGGCTACAGTGTGGGGGTCGTAGCTACAGTGTGGGGTCGTGGCAACAGTGTGGGGTCGTGGCTACAGTGTGGGGTCGTGGCAACAGTGTGGGGTCGTGGCTACAGTGTGGGGTCGTGGCTACAGTGTGGGGTCGTGGCTACAGTGTGAGGGTCGTGGCTACAGTGTGGGGTCGTGGCAACAGTGAGGGAGTCGTGGGTACAGTGGTGGGTCGTGGGGTACAGTGGTGGGTCGTGGGGTACAGTGTGGGGTCGTGGGGTACAGTGTAGGGTCGTGGGGTACAGTGTGGGGTCGTGGCTACAGTGTGGGGTCGTGGCTACAGTGGGGGGTCGTGGGGTACAGTGTGGGGTCGTGGCTACAGTGTGGGGTCGTAGCTACAGTGTGGGGCCGTGGCAACAGTGTGGGGTCGTGGCTACAGTGTGGGGTCG